TTTTTTTTTTTTTTAAAGAAAAAATGCATATATATATATATATTTTTAAGCTTGCAATTTTTTGTGCGTGTGTCAGAGGCTTTGACGACACGAGCCTGCGAGGAGCCGGGCGAGCGGCTGAAAGAAGGTGCTGGGAAGAGGTTTGGTCTCAGCAGGGCTTCGCTTCAAAGCCCCAGCGGGAGGACAGCGCAGACAGGCAGCCAGCGGGGGGGGGGGTTTATTTTATACAGCGCAGAGAGTTGCACATTGACAATACTCTGTGTGTGTATATACATACATATATATATATACATATATATGTATATTTTTCCTTCAGGAGAGGTTTCTAGGTCCCCTGGCATTACAGAGGCAGCGTGGGTGGGACTGTTCCCCTCCTGTGTGACCTCCAGTTTTCCCTCGTAGCGCATGGAGTCGAGCTAGAGACTTGCCTCCCAAGACAGACGTCTTTTGCATGAGAGTTTGAGATATATATACATATGTATACATGGGACATATATTGTTATCCTATATATATAAGTGAGGTTTCTAGGTCCCCTGGCATTACAGAGGCAGCGTGGGTGGGACTGTTCCCCTCCTGTGTGACCTCCAGTTTTCCCTCGTAGCGCATGGAGTCGAGCTAGAGACTTGCCTCCCAAGACAGACGTCTTTTGCATGAGAGTTTGAGATATATATACATATGTATACATGGGACATATATTGTTATCCTATATATATAAGTATATATACAATATGTATATGTTTTTTTCTTCGTGTTAGATGTAAGAAGCAGACTGGCTGTATTGGTAGCTTAGCCAACTGCTGAAGTGCTCTTTTTGTTTTGTGTAGCTCTGCCTTTTTTGCTTGCTCTTTGGCCTTGCTTCTCTAGTTACTTTTTACCAGATTGGGTTTGAATTTAGCCTTTCCCCCATCCTTTTTTCTTTTTTTTTTCCCCTCCTTTTCCTCATGGAAGCTGGAAATGCTGACACTAGAGAGGGCTTCTACTACATCACCCGGGAGAGGATTTGGCTCTGGAACACTTCTGCTTCGTGGCACCCCATAGCAGAGGACCTCCCCTGGCTTGATGGCAAGGATGGATCAGTCTCATTCGACCATCTCATTCACTCCTTTCCTTTGGGTCGTTCTCCTGTTTAATCCCTCCCTTTCCTTAGCGCTTGGACCCTTTTTGCTCCTCCTTATCCCATTAGTGAGGTCACTGCTCAGGTAAGTGATGCACATTAGCTAGTGCTGAGTGTTCTGAACCATCTCGTTCCTGCCTTTCCCCTCCCAAGCCAACGTGCCAACATCCCAGCTGGACGGAGCAGGCTTGGCGCCGCCTGAACCCCACGCCTGCTGTTTCTGTCTTTAAGTGCCCTCAAGCAGCAGGTGTCTGTTCCAGCTGGGAGTTCTTGCTGGTCACGGCTCACTCATTAGGAGCATCCCTCCATTTGCCTGTGTTGCTTTTTATCAAGCACTTCCAGCCTGCTGAATAGCTTGATGTGGATTATCTTGGCCAGGTTATTACCAGGTTCCTTCTGCAGCAGGACTGCTGGGGTTTGCAGGGAGGAGGGTTAGGAGAATGTGTGACTGATGCTGTGTCTTTTCCTGCTTTCCCTCTTCAGCTGGGAAAACAGCGTTCCTGACCTGGACCTGTTGGGCACTTCCCAACAAACAAACCATCGGCTGCTTCCAAGGGTGTTTCTCATCCTGGCAGGTGTTGATCACCCCCAACAGACACCCTCCGTGTAACGTTTTGCTGTGCTGCCTCCCCCCAGCCAGGCCTGTTTTGAGGAAGACGGCCAGAAGGAGCCAGCTGTGGGACCCTGGAAGCCCGTAATGCCGTCCAAAGGGAGCAAGGAGGAGCTGGAGCGTCCGGAGCCAGGTGGGGATGAGAGCCAGTCCACGGAGCAGCTCAATGTGTCCCGGCTGCGCAGCTCCTCGGTGGAGATCCGTGAAAAGGGGTCCGAGTTCCTGAAGGAAGAGCTGCACAGAGCGCAAAAGGTAAAGGCAGGCTTTGTGGGAACGCTCCGGGTGGAGGTGTGGACGTGGGCGGTGGGTCCCTCTTGGAAGGGGCTAAATGCAAGTGCCAAGGACTGGAGCGGGTGGCAGAGGAGACCAAGTGCTTTGGAGCAGGACAGCAGCTGCGAGGCCGGCCCGAAGCCTCTGTGCCAGCCTCCAAACCTGGAAACCTGCACCAGGGAAGGCTGAGATGCCGAAAGCGACTGCAGACAGTGCTGGCTGTGCAGCCTTCTTGCTAGGGGCAAATGAGCAATTCCAGGCGGAGAAAGCGACCGCAGCTCATGGAGAGGTGCCTTTTGGGGAGAGTGGATGTGGTCCAGAGCCCCGGGAGCCTGGAGTCTTGGGGCTGTGGTGGGGAGGAAGGGTGTGAGTGGCAAGTGGTGGAGTGGGCAGACTGCTGGGTCCTGCAGGGTCCTCACGCATCCCTCCCCTTGACAGGAGCTGAAGCTGAAGGACAAGGAGTGTGAGAGACTATCCAAAGTCAGAGAACAGCTGGAACAGGAGCTGGAAGAGTTAACAGCTAGTTTGTTTGAGGTACCGCCCTCTTTCTCTTCCCATCATTTCTTCATCCAAGCTCCCCTCCGTCCCCTCCAAGACATGCTTTGCCTGCACTTTCAGCCACGCTCCTCTCTCCCCACCGTTTCCTCCTTCCCCCTTTTCCTTCCCACTTGGAGAAGCAGAGCTGGGCAGCTCTAATCTCTAGCTGTGACTGGGCAGGGAGGAAGGCAAGAGCCCAGCCCAGCCTTTGCAGCTGCATCCTTGCTGAGGGCCCGGAGGGCATCCCCCTTCCTGGAGATTTTTAAGCTGAGTTTTTTTTCTGTTTGCCCCTGGCCGGAGCTACCGCCCTCGCTGATTCCTGGCCACAGCTGTGCTGCCAGGGAGCTGCGAGGAGCAGTGCCAGGGAGGAGCTAGGATGCAGAGCCGCCAAGCCGGGTCGGGACTGGGGCCAGAGGGAGCGGTCAGGGTCAGGTGCCGTTCTGTGATCACCCAGCAATCCGTAGTGACAAGGCAGGTCCCAGACGGAGGCAAAAGCATGGAGGGAGGAGAGCGGGTGGCCGCTCCAGGGCTGTGACGTAGCGCAGGTCAGGGCCAGCAGCGAGGCCTCGGGTCGCGGTGTGGGAGGAGGGACGAGCTCCTGCGTTTGGCTTCCTTCACAACAGCCCTTATCAGCAAAGAAGGTGACCTTGGACTCGGCCAGCTCAGCTCCTAGCAGGGGGGACGCGCTCGGGGCAGCCCTGCGGGGAGGCTCCTCGCTCTGCCCGCTGCAGCCCCGGTGCTCACACTACTCCTTTCTCTGGTGCAGGAGGCGCACAAGATGGTGAGAGAAGCAAACACCAAGCAGGCGGCGTCGGAGAAGCAGCTGAGGGAGGCCCGGGGGAAGGTGAGAACTGCGCTCTCTGCGGCTTGCTCTCGGTGCCAGGCTCTTTTCTCTGCTGATCTGGATGCCGGAGGATCTCTGGAAAAGTGACCTGCTGCTGTTTAATTGCCACAGCAATGGGGGGTGCAGGGAATAGGGAGCTGAGGACTAGAAATTTCTTCACTAAGCTACATCACGGGGCTGCTGAACTGGTTCTTTCTTGAGGACAAAGAGAAATTCCTTCTGCGTTGTGGGGTCCCTGAGGCAAAAGGTGCTTGGACTGTAGAGGAGGAGAGGGAAGAATGTCTAACGGTTGTCGCTCCTCTAGCTAATTCCTCTAGGAGATGGAGGGTGTCTGGGGGAGTGGGGAGAAGGCTTCATGCCTGGGTCTGTAGTTGGTGAAGCCTCTGCAGGGCTCCCTATGGCTTTGGTGTTTGGTGGAGGACCGCAAGGCCGCAGCCTCTTGCCTTGTCTCCTCAGATTGACATGCTGCAAGCCGAGGTGACAGCTTTGAAGACTCTGGTGATCACGTCCACGCCTTCCTCCCCAAACTGGGAGCTGCACCCGCAGCTTCAGGGTCCCGCCAAGGCCGTCTTCAGGAAAGGGCACGGCCGAAACAAGAGCACCAGCAGTGCTGTGGTCACGGCTGCCAGCCCGAGCGCGGCGCCGGGGCCCGTCAGCCCGGAGTGCAAGGAGGAGGGTGAGGATGAGGGACCCCGCCAGCCTTGGAGCTGCTGCTGTTGCTGCTCTGCTCCCAGGACTGCGGTGGCCCTGGGGCTTTCTGGGAAGCTCTGCGGTTTCAGCGTTGGGAGAAACTGTGTTAGCAGCAGCACGGCTTGTTCGTCGAATTGTGCTGAGCCAGGTCCTGGGCCGGGGTGGGGGTTCGTTTTTGTGGAGACTTCCCCTTCTGGGAACAGCATTCTGCATCAGGACAACTGCTAGAGGAAGCAGCGTGCGGATCCGCAAAGGGCACGGACGGATCCAGGAGCTGCTGAGGAGGAAGCTGATTTTCTGCTGCCTCTTGACAGTCGAAACTGCTGCCTGCTCTGACCTGCTGGGCTTTGGCTCCCTCCCTCTGCCTAACGTGGCTTAATGGTTGAGGGCAGTAGCGCTCCCCCATGGATATCTGGTCTGTCTCCTATCTGTTTTGAGGCGTGTTGCTGCTCTTCCTGCAGTTATTCCATGTTATTGGAGCTAGTTGCCCTGTCCTGACACAGCAGTAGCACCAAGAGGCTACGGCAGAACGAAACCTGAGAGGAAAATCAGCTCCGCAGCTGCAAAGCTGTAGGCTGCTGATGTCTCTTGGTCGAGCAGGGAAGAGTCCAGATGGGCTGGAAGTAGGAATCCAATATATAGCCAAAAGCTACTTGTGGGTGTCGGGAAGAAAAGTTCTTAATCTTTAGGTCCTGCAACCTCTCCACTGCTAACAATTCCTTTCCTCAGGACAGAGGCGCTCCAAATTAGAGACCCCTGCGTTAGATTATGTTTTAAGCATGAGGGCATCGTCTTTAAACTTACTTTGTCTCTCGAATTCCTTGCTGGCTTGCGTGCGAGGTGATAAAAGGGAGCCTGCCATTTGGAGCGTAAACTTTGTGGAAAAACCCGTGCCTTAAACTGAGCCTAAAAATGGCAGAGTCCATTCTCTTCCCCTCGAGCTGAAGTCCAGCGTGTGTGTGTTGTGCTCTTTTTCTTCTTAACCTCTCTTTCTCGTGTGTGTCTCGCCCATTTCCTGGCCTGTCTCTTGCTGCAAGCCGGGGGTGCCCGCTCTGCTCTCCATGCTGCTCTGTGTGCTCCCCGGGACGATGCTCCAGCTCCCCTGGGAGCCAGCCTGGCAGCCTTCATCGGCAGCCTCTTCCTCGGCCTCGCGGCAGGTAACGCTCGGGCAAAGCGCCGACACCAGCGCCGGGCCCCTGGCGCCTCCCTCAGTGCAGCTCTTTGGGTCTCACTTTCTTTTATGCCAAACCTTCATCGTTTTGTTTTGCTTTCCCTTTGTTTCTCCAATTGTTTTTCCATCTCGGGGCTCCGCAGCTGCTTCCCGACACCGGGTGAACAGTGTCCATGGCCCAGAGCGAGTGTGCTGGCACTTGGGCCTTTCTCAGCTTTCTTCACTTGTTCTCTGTGTTGCTCAGCATTTTTTTTTCCCTTCTTTTGGCAGCTTTAAGGGGATTTGCAGGCTTTTTAGGGAGCTGCCCTGACAGTCAGGTTGGTGGCGGGGCTGAAATTCCGGGTGCCGGGGAGTCTCCAGCCTGCTGGGAATGCAGGATGGAGGGAGCAGCCTTTCGGCTGGCTCGGGGGAGCTCTGTCCCGACTCCCTTGCTGTGGAGCAGGGGCAACGCTTGAGAGCCCATCCGTAAAGGGAACGAGTAGGCACTGGAGTCTGGATCTAGTCCTGCTCTTTGGACCTGGCATCCTGTGCTCTGCCAGCCCACGTGGCTGCCCGGTGCTCCCGTTACTTCTGAGAATCCCCAAACACACTCTGCCTCCAACTGAGCTTTCTCCTCTCACCCTTCTTGAACGCTTGCTGCAGGTCGACTCCATTTTATTTGCTGAGTTCCAGGCCTGGAAGGAGTCTCCAACTCTGGATAAATCCTCCTCCTTCTTGGACAGAATTTACCGAGAAGACGTAGGACCGTGTCTGGACTTCACTAAGCAAGAGGTGAGTGCTGGAAAAGTCCGAGCAGAACTGCAGAGTGGGGCAGCACCCGAGTTGTGCCCTCTCCGGAGGGCCCCTTGCACGTGTGCAGCCGCTTCTCTTTGCTGCAGCTCTCGGAGCTGGTGCGAGCAGCCGTGGAGCAGAACACACTCACCATCGAGCCCGTTGCTTCGCAGACGCTGCCGGTGGTGAAGGTGACCGCAGCGGAGTGCGGTGGGCCCAAGTAAGGAGCCTTTCTTATCTTCTCCTTTTTCTTCTCTCCACGCCGGTCTTTTTGTGCCTCCATGTGGGGTTTGGGCAGGCCTTAGAGCCAGGGGAGCTGAAAAGCTACTGGAGCCCAGCTGACTGCTCCTGGTTTATCAGCAGCACTACTTCAGCTCGGTTTAATACCCTCTTATATGAAGAGCTGGCTATCTTGGCTCACCTGATGTACTGGCACTGTCTGGCGAGTACCTTGCTGCTGTGTTAGTGCTTTCAAGCTCCTCAGAGTGTCTTTTTTTCCCACCTGTCCCTTCCTTCCTACAAGGTGAGCCTGTTTTCCCCTTCCTTCCTGAAAGGCAAGCCCGTTTTCCCAGTGTCTGCAGGGTGTTTTGGGCCAGGTTAGGATGAGAGGCAAGGCAGAACACTGTTACCTCGGGTCCCAGGGAGGTCTGAACTTGCCTCGTGTTGCTGCCCTCGCTGCCCCGTGGGGTGTTGAGGCTGGCTCGGGGGAGATCCCCTCTTGCTGCTTTCTGTCTCCCTCGCCTCGTGCTGGAAGGGGCTGTGGTTGCCCCAGAGCTCCGTGTTCAATGTCTCTTCTCCTCCTGCTTCCAAGTAGAGTCTCTTCTGGGCTAAGGCCTTCCTGTAACTGAGCTCTGCTCATGGGCAGCCTTCCTACCACGCTCACGTCTTCTCTCAGCTCCGCGTTGCTCTCCATGTGTGGAGCAGTGAGGCCTGTGCCGAGAACAACCCATCCTGTGTTTATCCCCATCCGTTTCCTCCTCCTCATTATTTCTTTTGTCTCTTCACAGTGGCTTCCGGTCACAAATTGTAACGTAAGTGAAGTACTTTTTTTGTTCGATAGTCAGTGAGCAAAGACCTCGGATCCTTTAACAGGCTACTAACTTAGTGGGGCTTAGCAGCTTCGAGACTAGCCTTGCACTAACCCAAATTCTTAATGCTGTTTCTTTAGCCACCCGCTGAGGTGGCAAGCAGCCTCACTCGTGGCAATAAATGGCCCCAAAGACACTGGTGTTCAGATGCAATATGCTGATTTTTGTCACTTTTTTGTCACCTTCATCATCTTGTGCAATTTCCTTCCACCATTCACACAAGAACAGGCTCCCCTCTGGCTGGGCCCGTCCTTTGCCGGTCTCTGTGGGCTCTGAGCCTTCTTGAAAATACTTCTCCTGTATTGGTGGTGAGAAAAGCTGTCTAAAACTTCTCAGTTTAAAATCTTTCTTTTGAAGTTTCTATCTTATACTTGCCAGGTGAGTCGAAAAGCACCAGAACGGCGGCAGGTTCAGAGGAATTTCAGGGCCCTGCCAGTGAGAGGGCTCAATCTGTTCAAATGCTGGAATTGCCTGTCCTGAGACCACATTGCATCCCCTGGCAGCGCATTTGCAGCTCGGCGGGGAAGCAGAGACCCTTGGGCAGAAGCTCCTGCAAAAACCTCACCCGAAATTGAGGAGATAGGGAGCTCAGATGATGCTCATAGGCTGCTTCATGCTGACTTCTTTCATGTTTTCTGTGGGTCTGTCTAGGCTGCCTGCCAGGAGAAGGATACTCGCAGAGTTTACTTGGGCATGGAATAGCTCATGGCAGCAAATATTTAGTCTAAGGCCTCCTAAAGCTGCTATTTCTGGAAGCTTGAGAGGAGCAAAAGGTTTTTCTCAAGCCCTTAGCCCTGTTTTTCACTTCTGGAAGCTGCTGACGCAGGTCTGGTTTCTGAGCTCCTCTTCTCGTCTCTTTTTGGGGATTTTCTTGAGCCAAGAGTTGCCCGGTGCTGCCGTGGCCCCGCATTGCCGGGGGCTGACGTGTTGTTTTGCTTTCCCGCAGGAAGTGCGCTCTGAGCGGCCTCCCCAGGACTTGCAAGCACCGGATCACGCTGGGGGATTCCGGGAATTACTACTACATTTCGCCATCCTGCAGGGCCAGGGTGAGTCTTTTGTCTTCGTGGGCTTCCTTGGCTTCAAAGTCCCTTCCAAATCCCAAGAAGAGCTGGAGCTCTTGCCCACTTCCTCCTGGGTGGTGCAATATCATGGGCTGAGATTGCAAACGATCCAAATTGTTACTTTTTACCAGCTTTTGTCTTTTCTCTTCCCCTCTGACAATATGTGGGGCTATTTGCTAGGCGCTTGGCCGTGTTGAGGGATGGTCTTGCTGGCTCCTGTGGCTGCCCCCTCGGCAGGCCAGGCCATTCTGTAGCTGATCCCTCTCTCCTCTCTCCCAGATCACGGCGGCATGCAACTTTTTCACATATATCCGCTATATCCAGCAGGGCTTGGTGAGGCAGGACGGTAAGAGAGGGGGTAATATGGGCTGCGTGTGGCAGGGGTGTCTTCTGTGGGCCAAGGAATGGGGTGTCCCCTCTGCCTGCATCCTTGAGAGATGCCAGCAGAGAGGTCAATGAGTGGGAGGGAGGTAGCACCCCCTTCCTTGCTCATCAGCTCGCTGGGAGCTTTGCTCTGGGCTTGAGCTGCTCGTGGAGTGACCTGAAGGTCCCTGTGTTGTGTCTGCATCCCCAAATTGTGAACGAGTTTGGGCTGGGCCTAAACTGTAACCCAGCTTGAGGTGCTGTGGGGCTGCGTGTTGCTTACTGTGCGTTTTTGTTTCTCGTTTTCTCCTCCTCCTGTCCCACCCCGTTGCTTTGCAGTGGAGCCGATGTACTGGGAGGTCATGCGGCTCCGGAGGGAGATGTCTCTAGCCAAACTGGGCTTTTTTCCCAGCGAGATGTAAGCTGAGGGCCGAGCATGGAAGGAAAGCGCTCCCGGACGCGCGACTGCCACCTGTGCTTCGCCGGACGGATGCTGTGGACCTGCTTCCTCCCTCCCCTCGCTCCCTCTGTCCCGCGCTGATCACGGAGCAAGAAGCACAAGTTCCCCCTTGGGCTGTCCCGCTTCTCCAGCCGGGCCTGGAAGGCAGCCCCGCGCTGCCCTCGGAGCCGGGCTGGCCCTGGCTGCCCTGGGGGTGGCCGTCCACGGACAGGCCCCTGTGGAATTTCCTTTATGAGTCCGTCTGACGTTTTTAAAGTTTTGTTTTTATATGCAGCCCGCTTTGGCGTAGCCCGAGGCTGCCTCTCGGGACAGATGCTGGCAGTCTGTCCACCCTGTCCTCGGGGCGCAGGGTGCTGTTGCCCAGCTGTGCACTGGGCCCCTGCTCCTCAGTTGCGCCCTGCAATGCCAGCAGCAAGGATAATCTCATGGAGAGCGTGAGCAGCCTGCTTCCAAGTGCTTCCTTGCTCCTTTTAAGGAGCCTTCGAGAGAAGCCGCCTGCTAGCCAAGTCACAAAGAGGGTTTTGTTCCTGTTCTCAGCTTGCCATTTGGCGCTGGGCTGGGTTACAGGCCGCACCGAGGCCGGAGCTGTGCCCCTGGGGCCCTCTGCACAAGAACATGAGCAGGGAGATGGTGGAACTCGCAGCTGGTCGCTGCACCTGGGCCAGAATGTTTTCTGAGGACCTGGAGAATCCGTTGCAGTAGGTCTGTGTCGAGGTTGCCCTACAACAGTCCTAGGTGCAGAAAGCCCCCTGTGCTGCTCTTAGATACAAATCTCTGCGATAGCCAAGTGTTTCTGGGCTCTCCCTCCTTTAAGGGTTGCGTTGGGCACTGCCCTCCCCACTGATGCAGTGGAAACTGTGGTCCCAGGCAAGGTTCTTTTCTGCTTCCACAAGGTGCTGTGTACAACATGGGCTGCGTTAGGACCCAGGGATTTCCTCCCCATCTAAGAGCCAGCCTGGAGATTCCCCTCTGCAGAAACGCAGCCTTTTGCAGGCTGCCATCCCCAGTGGGAAGTTTGAGACATTTTTGCATCCTCAGCTCCACTGAGTTTCATAATCTCCTGGGGGGATTCTGCAGTAGGAACTTCCTATCTTTGGTGGAAGAAAATGGAGCTGCTGTTGCCAGGGAGGAACAGCTGGGGAAAGACCAAGTTTTGGGTTGGGAGCTAACGCGAGGAGACCTTCACAGCAGCCCCAAGAACGCTGTGGGAGACCCTCGTGAGTGCAGGTTTTTCTCTCATGGAGCAGGGACTTGCTGCATGGTGCTGAGTTGCTCCTCAGGGAACTCCTTTCCTTATAGCCATGCTGGCACGCGCAATCACTTGCCGAGGGTGAGTAGTCACTTGAAACACGAGCTGGCATCCCCGGGTCTGGGAGAGCGCGTTGGTGAAAACGCATCCTGCATAGAAATCCAGCTCTGAAGGGGCCGGAAGGCCAGAGCGGTGGCTACTGTCCTCGTGCTGCTTTTGCCTCTCTCATGGCCGAGTGCCTTAGCCGTAGCTAGGTAAGTGCGTGTGCCTGCTGCTCTGCTCCAAAGAAGTGAGTTTTTAAGGCGGGGGGTAACGGTGTGCAGAACACATCTCTGGTGTAGAGTCGGGTCCTAAGCTGGTGATAAACCTGCACAAGCTGGTGATAAACCTGCACTTTGTTTTTGCTGTTTTCTTTGGATTTGTGGCAATTTGACATCAGCTGTTCAAGGAGGGGGAGGGGAATAGAAATATCCTTCCCCTGCTGCAGGCTCTGGCTCAGGTAGACTCCATTCATGGTAGTTTTCCCTTGGATCTGCTCCCCCGGATCCCTGGATGTCTACATGCTCCCAGTGCCACTAGCTGCCTCATCTCAAGTGTGGCTGTGCTGTGGGAGTGAGATGTTTTGGTTTGTGGGATCCTCCACCTTGTCACTTTTTAAAAGCACTTTGGGATGAAAGGAGTTGGGGAAACGCATTGCGTCAGGTGGCCTTACGATTCGAAACACAGCATAAAGGACAACTTGCAAATCCAAAGTCACTCCGCTGACAGCGGGATGGTCGCACCCTGCTCTTTGTTGAAGGAAAATAAACGTTTGCTGTTAACCCCCTGAGACCTGGTTGCATTTCTAGGGTTGGACTGGTCATGGTCTGCCCTGAGGTGGTCGGAGGAGGGTTACAGGAGGCCCTGCAGGGTGGGGAGAAGGTGCTGTCCTCCCCTGCAAGGCAGGTACGGTGCTTGGATCCTCATTCTGGGGTAAGAAGCTGTAACCTTGCAAGCAGAGGAGGCACCAAGCAGCCTTTTAACTGTGCTGCCGGGCTCCAAGATGCTCCGGGTGCTCCTGCTCTCTCCTGGGCAACAGGAACCTTCTTCCACAGCCGCTCTTTGCAGTCCCTAAGCCTGGTGAGCAGGATCCCGGGGCAACAGAATTACTTGTGAGGCCTCTTCCTGGCCAGCTGCAGAAATGACTCCCAAGGTTTTCCCAGAGGAACATGAGCTTTTCCCAGGGCCATTCCCGATTTGCTCTCCCATGGGCCATGCAGAAAGGCTGCCTTGTCAGAGCAGCAGCTCTGGATCAGTGCGCGTAGCCGCGCGCTCAGGGCCGGGCAGCCACAAGAGGGCACAGATGGATTAGGCAGAGAGGCCTGTCCTGTGCCAGCGGGGCCTAGGCGGGCAGAGGGAGGCCCCAGGGGAAAAGCAAAGCATGGAATCATCGTGTTTGGAAAAGGCCTTCAACAGCAGCGAGTCCCACCCTAAACCCATCGCCACCCTGCCTGCTAAACCATGTCCCTACCGCAGCCTCATGGATCTCCTCCAGTGGAGTCAGCTCCTCAGCTCTTCTCTGGACTCCGGGAGGGCATCCTATCTGCCATCGAGCTGTTCTCTGGGAGCTTTTGGCGGGTTTATCTCCATGGCCTGGTTTTCTTGGCAGCTGTGAATCTGCTCCATGCCTTCCCTCCTCTTGGCCTGTTACCGTGTCCATGTGTCCGGCAACACCAGTCTTTTGGTGACTCTTGGAAACACCTCGTCCTGTCACGCATGCTTGTTCACACGCTGGACACTCATGTTCCCCGTTGATGCTTAGCGTGGTGCTGTGCCCTGGTGGTGAGGAGCTCAAGAGGACCAAGGCAGGTGGATACGTTGGTTCTGAAACTGTAGCCAATGGGGGAAGGTGTGAATTATGCCTCTCTTGCTCAAGTGGGCTCAACCACGGCCAAAGAAGCCTTTCCACGGCCCAGAGTCCCGGTGCAGCATCAAGGAAGCTCTCTCTAGAGCTAAGCCGGAGAGACCAAGCTCGCAATGAATGACCGCTAAAGATAGTTGTGGTGCAATTCCTTAGGGACTGCTGTGCTGCAGGACGGGAAGAAGAGCTATCATGTTTTGTGAGGTATTTTGGGTTGAATCACGGAGCATGTGGAGGATACGTGTACTTGAGGAAGACCCTGGAGTGAGATAAAACTCGGAGAAGCTCCTGTGCTTCAAGTGGCACTTGTGGCAGGTGGTGTGCGAAGCACTGAGGGCTGGAGACTGTGCAGGAAGAGGCCTCCTCAGACACCTGGAGAATGAGTCTTGGGCCTGGAGAAGAAGCTGTAGAGAGGAAAAGGAAGGTTTGGGGTCTCTTCAGGAGACGAAAGCTGAGTTTGCTTCACACTCTCCCTGAGGCAGAACTGCAGGGGGACAGTAGCTGAAATAGCTGCCTTCATAGATGTGTTTGCCTTGTTTGAAGGACAGTGGGCAAAACCATCATAAATCTTCCCCACCACCAACCACAAAGAATCCTCTTATCAAGGCTTCATACAGTTGAAATTCCATGTCCATAAATCAGCCTTTTTATAATTCCTTTCTATTACCAGGACCTGCAAGCAGAAAGGGATCTGGGTGTGAGCTGGACTTCATCTTAGAGCTGCTGGTATCTCTCTGGGTATCTATCTATCAGGCACACAGGACTCACAGAAAAGGCCCGTTCTCTGCTCAGCCTTCCAGGCACTACCTTTACAATGGATGGAGCATCCTGCAAATGTCTCTGAATGCTACAACTTTCATTCCTTGTGGATTACTCTTTATTATGATGGAGCTTTAAAATAGAAGGGAAGGAGGAAAAGGCTAAAATAGTACTGAGCTGAGAACAAACCCCTTGGAAGTACCTGCCTCTCTACATTTGTCTTCTCACTTTCTGTTTTTCCATTAGGTTTTTTCTTCCTTATGTTGTCCTGAACACTTGTGTAGATAGTGCTTTAAACACTAGAGTTAAGGTTTTACCTTAATACTCTCCATCTTCTCTTGGCAAATCTCTCTGTGTCAGAGCATCGCAGACTCGGGATGTCTTGTGCTTTGGAGCTCAGAAAAAGCAAAGAAAAGCAGCCAGCCTCTGAAATACCTTGGCTTCCAACACATGAACGTATTTCTCTAATGCATTTTGCGTGTTTTGATTTAACCTTGCTATGTTACACTCGGTGCTGTGCACAATGAAGTGCGTTAATACACATGTAAGTGCAGAATCCAGCAGACTTTAAGGAAAAACTGGGATAACGGGCCTAGGCTGCTGGTGGGACTTTCCCAGGACTGCTAGTCTTGTCCTTGACCCTGCCTTCGAGCCGCTAAAGCCCTGCTGAGACTATAAATCAGGCTGTCTTTGCATGGTAGGTCAGGCTGTCCCCAAACGCATGGAGAAAAGTATGTTTCTGGGAATCGATAAATGCAAGATTTGTGTTTGGGTGCATTTATTTTGGGCATGGACAAGGAGAAGGGAGGAGGTAAGCAGATGGCCTTAAAATTCCTCCAAAAAGCGAACTGTTTCAAAGCTTTCAACGTGACTGGTTAACTCTCCCTTATGCTAGGCATAGCGAAACAGCACGGATTACCGCAGAACAGCTAGTGCTGTACAAACAGTGAGGAAATACCATTTATTTGGGAAATTCGGCAAGTGTAGCCCTTATCAAGAAGCACTTGCTATCCTGGCACACTGCTGAGGTTCCACGTGGCAGTGGGGACCGGGGCTGGGGAGCCCTGCCAAGGTAACGAG